CCCGCGGCGGTGGTACGGAGCGAGCGGCACCCGCCCCTGAGGTGGGGCCAGGGCCCGTGTTGCCGGTTGGGATACAGGTGGCGGCGGAGTGGTTTTCTGAGACAAAACCCTTCTGGAGTTGCGACGTAGGGGCCGTAAAGACGCTCTGAAGCGCTCCTGCCGGCGGGATGGCGATCGGGGCAGGGGTGGAGGTGACGCGGCTTTCCTGGAACGATTTCTGGTGTGGGGCCGGCGGGAGAGGGGGTCCGCTGCCTCTTCGGGCTGACTTCAGGTCCTCAGGTTTCGGCGGCACCTTTGCTTTGTTAAATGCAAAACCAGTCCTCTCTATCAACATCTCTGTTGCCTTTTTTTTTCTTTGCGTTTCTTTCCGGCCTTGCAGTTATCCAGATAGTCAGAAACCGACCCGTGAACCAGGAGTGTTCCCAGACAATGTGTTGAAGGGTAATGAATTCGTCCCGGTTTCTGGGAAACTAATTCTGTAATATGTGGAAAGTTTTTATTGACTCCTGAAAATGTTTATTTTTAGTAAAGAATTAACGAATTTGTAGGTTTTACTTTCTTTGGGGGTGTTATTTTTTTTCTTTCCTCAGACCGTCTTTTGCTTCAGCCCCACATAACTTGCTGTGGAGCCTGGATCGCTGGTCAAATACGTATGTCCTCGGTAGAGCATACATATTGGATACCCTCTGAGCCTCTCCACGAGGATCTAGACATGAACTATAGTACTGCAGAAACGTCTCTGTCCTCTGTTGAGAGGATAAGTTTTATTGAACAGTGATCCAGAGCACAACTCTGCAGTCGGTCTTGTGTTTTAAAAAATAGTGAAGGAAATCAGCTAATGTCTACTGAATTGGTTTTGCTCACATATATAAAAAAATAAATCTGGTGTGTTCACACATGGTTTATCTTGCTTCTCCTGTATTGTAGAGTTGAACAACCCTTCTCGATGTTCTTAATGAATTTACCTATGATACAAAAATGTCAAAGAGTTTTGCAACTTAATTTTGATTTAATATAAAACATTGGCATAACCTGTTAAGACTACAGCTCTGTTAAACTAGTCATAAAATGCAATTGAAACATGGTACCTGCTTGTTATACTTTCATTTTACTATGTGGAACATGCTTCCTCATTTCAGGTAATGATTTTTCTAGCCTAATCTCCTGTGATAAAACTGATAAACTCTCAGGTATCTAATGCCGTGTGAAAATAGTTTCTCTAGTATCTCTTATCAAATCCTGATTTAGTAAAAAATAATGGTTAATAATCTGTGATACCCAAAGCAAACTGTGAGAACTGTTTTGTAAATTCCCATTTATAACTTCTAATGAAGGTGTCCTTAAATGGGAAAAGTAAACCAGAACTACATTTTCTTGAAACATGAAAATAAATTCATTATGGTTTTGTCCACTAAGTACATAAATGTTACTCTATACCAGTTGAAAAATAAATATTGGAAGTAATTTGAATAATTCTTCATGTTACTAGGTGTTGTAGTATATAGGCCCATCTCCAGCCTGTCAGGTCCCTCGGGATAGCACATTCCTTCCCTCCAGTGTGTAAACCGCGCTGCAATGTATGTGAAATGTTATAAATACGCTTGTGATTATTTGGCATGCTGTGTAGTTCCATCACAAATGGTGGTATAACTAACATCTTGGAACTTATAAAAGGTGTTGACTTTTACTCTGTTTTGACAGTCTCAGTATGTGCTACTTACAGGAAGGAAAATGATGCAATTTCGGCTTTTGCAGATTTAAAATGAGATAATGCTTTCTGCCAATGGTGAAGAGTGGTAAGAAAATTCTGAGCATCAAAGATCAGAATAAGCTGTCACAAGAGCTTTCTTCCAGGCCTGAAATCCCAGAATTGGTATTCCCCAGGGGATACCAGGCTGTCGGATTCTGCAGGGTAGTGCTACGCTTCCAGCTTTTGTACGCTTGAGCAGAAGAGATGAACGCAGGACGCTGTGAGCACAGAACTGGGGAGGCCTCCACCCGCCGCTGCTCTTCAGTTGCTCCCACGAGCAAACAGTGTTACAGGGGCTCTGTGAAGTCCTGCACTCCGCAGGGTAAAGTAGTCTTTGCGTGGTGGTGTTACTGTTTTTTTTTTTCAGATGCAGAGGCAATAAACATTTTCCTAATTAGTTTTTTTTGCTGTGGTCTTTTGACAGCTTATTCTTGCCAGAATTAAATTGCATTTTTGTGAGTGATAATGCAGAGATTTTTCTCTTTATTTGCCCCTTTATACCCAGGTTCTAGCAGGTTTTCATCCTGACCTGCGGTGCGAGGTGAGCACGGAGTTTTCCGGGGCTTTTCTGCCCTTTGCTCGAGGGGTTTCTCTTGCCGAGCAGCCCCAGGGGCCGCCGAGTGCGGGCTGTGCGGGAGCCGCATGGCCAGAGAGCACCGGACGCGCCCCGCCTGCTGCCGTTAACAGGCGCGACCTGAGCCTTCCGCACCCGGTGCGCACCGGCGGGACGTCCCTGGTTGGTCCCTGCTGTGCGTCGGTGACGCTGACGGTACCGGGACAGCGCAACGCCGGCGGCCACGGTACCGGTCGTGAAAAGTGCCTCAACAGCTCTCACTGGGATGCGGTCCCTCCTGCAGGCGGGCAGGGGCGGCTGCGCTCCGGGAGCGCCGCTACCGGCGCCGACCGTTACCCCC